ATAATTAGTAAGCCAGTTGATACAATATTGATTGGATCATACATGTGATATGTGAGAAACAAAATTGTCCAAACCTTGTAGAATTGTGTCATTGTTGAAGAACCTTTAATAGTGATTGCCCCAACAAAACTGAATATATTGCAGGTTCTAGAGTTGCTGAATCATATGGGTCTGTGCGTTTCTATATCTACAACCACAGAACTGATTGACAGGATCATCAAGGCTATGGTGCCAAACTAATAAAGTGGAGAGAACTTGCACAAGCAGCATTCATCAACATTGGTAAATATGAAACAAAATTCTGAAACAAAGTGATAGTGCTTCTCATCAACTTTTGGCATTCTGAAAAATATTACAGAATCAATAGCTTTTGAGTTACACTGTTAAGGTGGAAGTAGCTAACTCTCATAAAATTCATAATTTGTAGCCTCAGGTCTAAAGGATAGCCATTATAAGCTTCAAAATGCTAGGAAGTGAAAAGGTTGGTGGTTCAAATCCCATGACTGACCACTTTTATTTGCACGCTCTTAATAAATGCAAAACAGTACATGTTACTATTCAAGTACTATTCAATAAGCTTAGTGTTTATGTTGCCTGTACAAAACCAAACAATAGGCACTTACACTCTCCTCCATACCACCAACCTTTTCACTTCCTAGCATTTTGAAACTTATAATGGCAATCCTTTAGACCTGAGGCTACAAATTATGAATTTTATGAGAGTTAGCTACTTCCACCTTAAAGCTTTTGTATTTAATGCTAGAGCATATTTATGTCTGAATTTTTATTTGCATAGTAGTGTAAAGAAAATGCTTTTATGGCTTGAAACATTTCGAATATTAAAAAATTGAAGTGTCAAGTTCAAATGAGAATTCTCTGTTGTTCTGTTGTGTTCAGGGTCATAGGCTGCCATTCTAGAAAGGTATGGTATTTATCTTTGGCCACTGGTTCAGGAATTGTCCTAAAAATGCGAGCGAACTCGCGGAGCAGCTTTAGCTTCTGTTATGGAAAGCTGAAGCAGTGGCTGGACGAAAGGCAAGTAACCTATATCGGGTATAACAAGCCAGATTTAGTGAGAGTAGCCGAAGCTGTTTGCTATCTTAATCTTCAAAAAAGTCCTGACATGAGGACTGAACAGACGAGAAATGCATCATCTCTTGATCACCTTAGGGCACTAGGATTCAATGGAGACCCTTCAAAGTTGAAGTTTAGCAATGACTTCAACGATTGCCCTGCATTTAGACTCATTGATATATTCAACTATCTATCCCAAAGTACAGCTGCTTATGACAAAAAGGCATTCGAGGACTACAAAAGTTTGGAGGATTAAAGACTCTGTGCGGATCAGCATGTTCTGCAGCTGGGGAATGTATTCTCAGATGGACTTTGGTTCGTCAGCGGTAGTGCGAGACCAACTCAGCGAGATAAGACATATCTCAACAAGGACTGCCACAACTTGTGGCATTGTCAGCAACAGGCCATGTGGAAACATTTAAGTTTTGTTTTTTGATTTATTTTCAACCGGTCCTGTTGTATTATCTGATTGATCATATTTGATTGTGTTATTTCGTGATACTACTTGTGTTTATTTCGTGACATATGCAAGAGCGCCATCTTTACTAATATAGTCAGCCATTTTGATGTACATGTGTAAAATATTTCAAAGTATAATATAGACATAAAAATCAACATAAAACATTGTTTATTGTCGTCATATTATAACAGAACAGGTCCGTTTTTCAGTTTCTCGAGTTTAAGCTACATCCACATGTAAGTAGTCATGTTCCCTTCAAGTTTGTCCAAGGCATCTCTATTGAAACGCAACTGCACCTGTTTGCAGTTTTATGAAATGATGGAATCCCATGAGCGCTTTGGAAATAAAGAAAAACTTCGGAGGGATTTGTTCATGGATAAAGTTCTGGAAAATGACAAATCGATTAAACAATATACTGGTATTTGTTCCCGGACTATGCTTGATGGACTATTTCAACTAATTGACAAAAACAACCAAAAGAAACTTACCTACAGGTTTCAGGAGAAGCTCTCCAAACACCAGAGCAATAATAGCCTGTAGTGATTCTTTGTTCAGAAGCCAAAAGTTGCACATATAGCACTTATGCCAAGGTTTTGCTGTCTATAAGCCCCTGGGGGTCATTTAACTTTGTATCTAAACTATATGGAGACAATGCTTCTGACAGATAGATTACGAAGGATTCAGGATTCATAGATAACGTTGAAGAAGGAGACAGCATAAAGGCTGATCGAGGGTTTACTATCCAGGACCTTCTACCGCCAAAGAAAGCCACTCTTAACATGCCACCATTCACCCATAAGGCCAAACATGGGAAAGGTAAACGACTTAACACACGTGAAATTAAGAAAACCCGGGCAATAGCAAAACTCAGGATCCATGTAGAGCGAGCAATAGGACGATTGAAGTGGTTCTGTTTGATTGGAAACATAATTCCACTAACACTTAAGCCATTAATGAACCAAATGCTTAGCATAGGCGCATTTTTATGCAACCATTTTATCTCCATCATTGATAAAAAAAAGTGAACATTTCAATTTTTGTACAATGAATCTCAAACTTATTGACAGTAACTGCTGCAGTTTACTTATTTTGCAGCAAAGAAATGTCAAGCTACATGTACATATCATTTATATATTATCATAAGTTATCATAGACTTCATCACAAATAGTTTTTGCTGTCTATAAGCCCCTGGGGGTCATTTAACTTTGTATCTAAACTATATGGAGACAATGCTTCTGACAGATAGATTACGAAGGATTCAGGATTCATAGATAACGTTGAAGAAGGAGACAGCATAAAGGCTGACGAGGGTTTACTATCCAGGACCTTCTACCGCCAAAGAAAGCCACTCTTAACATGCCACCATTCACCCATAAGGCCAAACATGGGAAAGGTAAACGACTTAACACACGTGAAATTAAGAAAACCCGGGCAATAGCAAAACTCAGGATCCATGTAGAGCGAGCAATAGGACGATTGAAGTGGTTCTGTTTGATTGGAAACATAATTCCACTAACACTTAAGCCATTAATGAACCAAATGCTTAGCATAGGCGCATTTTTATGCAACCATTTTATCTCCATCATTGATAAAAAAAAGTGAACGTTTCAATTTTTGTACAATGAATCTCAAACTTATTGACAGTAACTGCTGCAGTTTACTTATTTTGCAGCAAAGAAATGTCAAGCTACATGTACATATCATTTATATATTATCATAAGTTATCATAGACTTCATCACAAATAGTTGATGATATTTAAGTGGCAACCTTGTTCTTTATATTAAAATAATGTTCTCAGGTGAATGATATTATCTTATATATTCTCAAATAGGTTCAACTGTTTGGATGTTATTGCCAAAGTTATCTTTATCAATATTACTAGTCTCTTGAAATATAGCCTATCAGTCAAGAACATTTCTAGCTAAGACAAAATGTTTCATGTTGTTTTACTAGTATTCAACTTTTGGAATCCCATAGTCATGAGGTTAAATTAAAGTTCCAATATACCATATTTATAAGTATAACATTTCCCAATTATGCATATTATCAGGTTGTGACTGAATGATGGCATTGAAAGTATTTTTGTATAATTCAATTGCTGGAATCAAGACATTAACTTAAAGTGGCAATACAACACCTTTGTAAATACTACATTTGACAATATAGCATATTTTCTGATTGTGACTGAGTGTTTGAGATTGAAAGTCAAGTATTATTGTATTATTCAACTGTTGGAATCTCATAGTCATACCATTAACTTAAAGTTCGCAATATGAATATAACATATTTGTAAATACTACATTTGAAGATACATCATATTTTCTGATTGTGACTGTGTGTTTGAGATTGAAAGTCAAGTATTTTTGTATTATTCAACTGTTGGAATCTCATAGTCATGATAGTCATACTATTAACTTAAAGTCACAATATGAATATAACATCTTTGTAAATACTTCATTTGAAAATACATCATATTTTCTGATTGTGACTGAGTGTTTGAGATTGAAAGTTAAGTAACCCCTGTGTACATGTATATCCCAAAATTAGACCCTCATTTTTGTGTACTCTGAAACTTACCCTTTTTGGGGCAATTTGACCCCAAGGTTTTAATCTCCATTTGACAACATATACCATGTAAGAAAGGCAATAACATGAAAAATTTCACTACCTGCCATTTGTTACATAAAAAGGTTGGAGATAATAACTATTTCACCAGTTGTGGTGTTGAAAATACTGTATTGATTCACGACTCTACAGCAAAACGCATCAAAAAAAGATTCATACTGAAGGGAAAAACCATCATCAAAACGATTGCGTACACATTGGATGAAGCAATTGACAAGCTAAAGAACTCTGAAGTACACAAAGATAACTATATAATAGCCATTGGCACTAACCATCTGGCTGACAACCAAAGTGTTCAATCGACAGTGGGGAAGTATAATGACTTGATACACACAATACAATTGAAAGACCCACATGCCAATATATATGCCTGCAGTGTTCTACCCCGCTATGATCATGTCAGCAATGATGACATCAAAGCCCTAAATGATGCTATACAAAATATGTGCAATCTAGCAGACAAGTTGTCATATATTGACACATACACAAGTTTTATAAAGTCCTTCCCTGGAATATATGTACAAGAACATGGCTCCCACCCCACCAAATCGGGATGGGTAAAACTAGCCATGATTATACGCCACTATGTCCAGCCCAGCAACAGGGAATTTGATGACCGCAGAGTGAACTCGACAAGACCTAGGCTACGCCCACAGCGGCCTCAACGCCCACAGTCCAAGCATGAATTTCCAAACAATGCCAATCCCCAAGTCATGCAAGACTCCATGACAGCAACCTAAAGTGCCATTATAAATGGGGAGCAATCTCAGCCCAAACACCAACAGGATAAATCTGATTAATCACAGGATACATCACAGCCTTCTAATTATTTGAATGGGGATTATATTAATCAACGGCCATTAGTGCAACAAAATGGTGCCAGCGAAATGCAGAATGTACCCAATATGAATATCCCCTATATCAATAACTGGCAACAACCCACTCAGCATTACTTTGTACAAAGCCCATTCTTAATAAATATGCAACATGTATCTATGGCAGCCAATACCCAACTACCCCAACTATATCCTACTCAAGGAGCACAAGTAACCCCAGTTCAGGGAGTACATAATTACCCAATTCAGAGAGTACAAGGGTACTTGGCTCAGGAGCCACACATCTGGAAACCCAACATTCAAGTCACAACTAATTAGAATACATATATAAAATACAAAAGTTACAGGTATAGGTACTATACATTGCTACTGATTTATCTATGCATTAAGTACATGTACTTTGATTGAACAATTTTTGGAAACAAGTGCATTTACTATATATTACCTCTGATTTCTCCATGCGCTTAATAGTACATATACTTTGTAGTGCACAAAACAGTTAATTCAGCTCACCCTAATAGGAAAATTCGAACCATCAATGGCTGTATTTTCTTATTAGAAGCTGGTAATCAACCTATTTGTAATGATAACATATAATTCTTAATAGTCCCATGTCTATATGTAAATATGTATGTTTGTATAATCTTCTGCTGAAAATATCTTTCCTGTTAACATTTTGTACATTGTACTTCTAGTATTACTCCATCTTGCCATCAATTTGAAATCTATTAGAAACGCAATTGACAATGACAAATAAGAGTCTTAAATTCCCAAAAGTTCATTGCAAAGCATCTTTAAAGATAGCAGGATGGAATATACTAGGTCTTAGTAGGACAAAAATGGAAGATCCTAGTTTTTTTCATAGCATGATTAAACATCATGATATTGTATTTCTTTGTGAAACATGGTTTTCAAAAGCCATCAATAATTTCAAAGACTTCTCTTGCTATAATATAATACGGGAAAAAGCTAAATCAGCTAAACGAAACTCTGGTGGGATTTCAGTACTGATTAAAGAAAACATTAAATCAGGCATATCTATTGTAGAAAAAACTGAAGAATGTGTATGGTTAAAAATTAAGAAATCTAACTTTAATCTCATGAATGACATATTTACATGTGGTGTATATTTTCCTCCACAAAACTCTACATATATGTTGGATAACAATGCATTTAATCTCTTAGAGAACAGTATAAGAAAATACTCAGACTCTGGACTTCAATGCACGGACTTCAAATCTAAATGATTTTATCGTAGATGACTGTAATAACCACTTACCTATAAATAATGTTCAATATAATGTTGACCTGCCAATTAATCAAAGATTAAATAGAGATAGAAAATTGAACTCGTATGGTAAATCCTTAATTCAGCTATGTCATACATGCCAAATAAGAATCTTAAATGGTAGAACACTGGGTGATTACTTGGGTTAATACACATGCTTTAAAGAAAATGGGTGTAGTACAGTAGATTACTGTTTAGCCAGTGAACTCCTATTACAAAATATATCAATCTTCAAAGTATACCCACCTAACCACTTATCTGATCATGCATATTAGGTTTGGAATGTTTTGTCATAGATCATAATATATCCTCTATTTATAAAATTAAAGGCAGAGCTATGCATGAATGATATAGATATGACAATGTAAGCTTAATTTAGCTTTCATAAAAAGCATCACTTGATCAAAATAAGGTACTATTTTGTGTAAAGAACCCCACACAAAAGGCTGTCTCTACATTTCTTGGTATTCTACCTCTTTAACATACAGTGTAGCTCAATCCTAATGAATTTATTCTCTAGTATAATAGTATTTGTGACACTAACTTTTTTATTTCATTTAAGAAAACATATTAGGTTTGGAATGTTTTGAACATTAAAAATCACTTCATATTTGTTAGAGTCACAACTTAAACGGTTAATATTCATTAAGGTGACATCTATATTTAGATGTCACAATTCAGTCTCTATAAGTGCAGCTTCAGGACAGGAGGTGTTATAGAAATGGCTACTGAAGAAGTGTTGAATAAGTTTTTTAAGAAGATAGAACAGAAATTAGAACATTTCTCTGAAAGTATAAATATAACCACAACACAACAGGAGGAATTAGCAACAAAAGTTGCGGAATTACAAGTTAAAGATGGATCTTATTCTGTAGCAGCTAAAGCAACAATAGGCCAGAGCAGCTCAGGATCTCCTGGGAGAGATCGCCAGGCAGGTATCTGTTCAATGTTTGATTATAAGGACATTCCTACAGATTGTATACAAGAACATTTTCGAAGTGTTCAGGACAGTTTGTCAAAAGTATGCCTGTCATGATATGTCCAATACATAAGTGCTCACTCTGTAGTTCCAGAGTTTATTTACTGTACTTTTCTTTCAGTATAGAACGCCATCTATTAGACGGAAATTTAAAACCAGTACTACTTTTGTCGATCTTATTTATTGAATAAGAGTCATATAACATGGTGTCAGTTTAAAAACTGGATTATACCGTTAAATCGGAAGGTCTATAGATCATTTTCAGCTAAGTGTGAATTTTCCTGAATGTAGGAGTCATGAGTATTCTGTGTTAAAAGGCTTGCTTCGTGTTAACCGGAAGTGCTGAAACCAGAAATTTCGCCCTAATTCTTCATGAGATAATATACTACTTCGTGTGACTGTATAGCTACGAGCTACTTACATATTGTATCTGTGTGATATTATTGACGCTGATATCTCTGTGATATTGAAGCTGTTATCTGTGTGATATTATTGATGATGATATCTGTGTGATATTGATGCTGTTATTTGTGTGATAAAATTGCAAAATTCAACCCACCAGAGAATTTCCGATTCGAGGAGCCTAATGACTGGCCAGATTGGAAAGATAGATATCAGAGATTTCGTCTCGCCACAAAGCTTCACCTCACAGGACAATGAAGTCCAAGTTTCTGCCCTAATTTATGCAATGGGTCATGAAGCAGAAAAGATTTACCGTATGTTACATTTTCCACCTGTAGTGGGACCTCCGTTGGAGGGTGAGGTAATAGATCTACGTAGTTTTGACCGTGTGTTACAACAGTTTCATAACTATTTTGTTCCGAAACTGGTTGTCATGTATTTTGATTGTGCTTTGCACAACCCACTGATTGTGTCATCATAGATGGCGTTACTGTACAGCCTTGTTCTGAGCTATAAATAAAAGATGAAACAACATTTAAATTATTCTCTATTGTTTATTACTCATTTCCACATAATTAGTTATCTAAGGATAAAACACTGGTGTTTGACAAACGCTGTCAACGTGAAGGCGAAAGCTGTGAGTCATTTATTCGTGATCTATTATCATCTTAGCGACAAATGTAACTTTACAGATAGAGATCATCGTTTGCATACCAGACTGATAAATGGACTTCGTGACACAAGACTAGCTTTGGAGTTGCAGGCAAAAGATTTACCTCTACAGAAATGCATCCAATGTATACATAATCATGAAATGGTGTATAGCAAGGGGAAATTGAATGCTGATTATATTCAAGAAGATCAGTGTGTTGATCATGTGAAATTTGATAAAAATAAATCTAAATCTAACAAACCCTGTGGGAAGTGTGGTAGGAATCATGAAGTACAAAAATGGCCAGCATATGGCAAAAAGTGCTATAATTGTAAAAACATGAATCATTTCAGTACAATGTGCCTCCAAGAAAAGAAAAGTGACAAAAATCCCCAAAAATCTGAGCAAGCTGAGAAAATTATTCGTGAAGTTGTTTATGTTCAATCACCACCTGTGGTAGACAAGATAAAAGAACAGACACCCTGGTGTGCGCCCATTGTTGTTGTACCGCGCAAAGCGGAAAAAGGGGTTAGAATGTGTGGGGATTTCCAGAAGTTCAACAAGAACATAAAATGTGAGAGATTTATGATGCCCACAACGGATTCTGTATTGACTAAACTCGCCGACTGTACTGTTTTCTCAAATTTGGATGTCAGTGGGTGTTTTCATCAATTTAGACTCACCGAACAAAGTCAGTTACTTACAACTTTTATCTGATGCAATCCTTCAACCTTGTAGGACTTGTAGTTCAAAATGACTTATCAGAATATTGGACCACAGATGAGGTTAATCAAACCCCTTTCTTCTCAAAAGAAACAGATACTGACTTTTGATGTTGTCAATGATGTTGACAATGAAAAACTTAATCTTAGGGGTCAGGAAGCCCACAATCCTCTATATAAATGTGGATCACTCTACAAAAACATTGTTTATAGCTTCCCAGTGCCTATGTGCCATCTGAACATTTATCACTTGATGAGGGAATGCTTCCCTGGAGAGGTAATCTCTTGTTTAAAGTATACAATCCTGACAAGCCCAAGAAATATGGCATCAAGGCTTACGAAATATGCGGCCATGACCATCAAAGGGATATGCAACAAACTTTAAATTGAACACTGGGAAATCAAACAGAATTCCATCAGAATTTGGACTTACTTATGACCTTGTAATGGATATGATGTCTGGGTATTTCAATAAGGGATACAAACTTTTCATAGACAACTATTATTCCTCTCCAAGACTTTTATGGGACTTGGAAAAATTAAATGTTGGCGTCAAGGGTACACTTAGAGCCAACTGAAAGGGAGTACCACAATCAATAAAGGATAAACCATGTAAAGTCAAGGGTGATAAATGTACAATGCATAATAACAATCTGATGATTATTATGAAATTCTATAATCTCAAGATTCATGTTATACATGCGGTACATGTTATCAGCACACTGCATCGTAGTAATGATGTAGCAACTGGAAAAAGAAATCAAAAATGCAAGACCCCATTAAGCATATACGTCCAGTGGACTATAGGTCAAGAGTTTGTAAACTACCTGCATGCCCCTAAGTAATTTGGATGTATTCTCAGTGGAGTGAAATGGAATCATTTAATCAGCTGTGAACTGTAAATCCCTTAGGAGAGCATCTGGCCAATGGGGACAAGAAAGTGTTAGATTACATCACAAGATATCTACTGAGAACAATTAAAAAACAATGAAAATAAAGGACAGATTTGACCATGATCATAAAATTATATTTGCATTGGCATATACACCAAAGATTGCAATCATGACCACAGGCACAGCATCATCATGGATCTCTGCTCTCAATCAGGAGAGACAAGTGATATATTTTTTGCATTATTGTGATGTGCGAGAATGTGTTTTTTTGTGTTCGCACTGACAATTCTAATATCATAGCAACCTCACTCCAGATTGCAATATTGGGAAATTCCATGATACTGAAACACAAAGTAATCACCTGACTCAAGTGCTTCTAAGATTTTGGCGCATTGTGTAACAACATTTCTATGAGTTCAAGGCTACATCATTGCTCCGCCAAGTCCTCCCATGAGAAAATAGGGGAAGAAATGTTGAAAAATTAGCTTATAGAGGGAGTTCAAACAGAAACAAATCCTTCAACAACATTGTTAGGTCTAATGCCTCGAAATATCATCATTTTAGTGGATCTTAAGAGTCTAGCTTACTGCTTTGCTGGGTCTACTTTGCAAGCATAGAGAAAGTTGGCAACAAAATGAATTGAGTGCTGTAGAAGGTGTTCTATTGTCAGTATGTTTACAGGAACTACTTACATTTCTGCCCCAAAATATAGTTAAGAACTGTAAGTTCTATTTTATCCAAAAATTAATAATTGAGTTCAATTGGATTAATAGATTGGATTGAGACTCCTCTACCAGCTGTGTGTTCAATTAATTTTGTAATGTTTTCTAAGTCTTCTGCAGCCAATGTGAATTAAATGACTATTTGTAGGAGGTATAACTCAATGAATAATAAGATGGAGGCAATGGAGTCTTCAACTACTTTTGTCAAATTTCATTGGTGGTCAACAACTGGGAACAGAATAGAAATCTTAAAGAAAGGAATGTTGATGAACAATGTTCATTTTTTGTTAATATGGTATTCATGTGAGATGGTCCTATTTATTGCAGGCTGATAGCTTTATACTGTATGAAATACCAAAGACAGAAGGTCCTTATATGGAGAGATTGCAAGTCAATAGATATACAAGTATATGAAAATGAACTGATGAATCTTCAACCTGAGTTTGAATACCCTTGTAAACAATATCAGGAAACATCTCAAGGTATGGTTGAATATAAGGAAGAAGAACCAGAGGAAATATATTATTCAAAATGTATAAACATTGCCAATAATGATGACGGGGATTTTTCACAAATGTAAGGGGGCTCTCAAAATTAAGGATTCTGTTTATAAGCCATCAGATAAATACAACACACAAGTGTATTTACTTGGGATCGGACACAATGGCTTATATGTGGATTGATGAGAGACATTCTAACTTTTTCAATTTTGCCAGACCAAAGCCAAATTTCACTTTGTAGTTTTTACCAAAACAGCTGTTTTTCCATCTGCCAAGATATGTGCCACTTTAAGCCGATCAGAAATTCCATCTGTTATTGTTTGTGGTATTGACATACATGTACCTTCCACACATAAGTTCTGGGAAGAACTACCAAGTAATTTTGTAACTTTGAACAATATTTTGTTGGTTTTAAGCAGCCTCTCCCTTTTCACATTGCGCGGGGAACTGGGAAGAACAATTCCAAAGTGTTTTACCCATTGGTGCTTGTTTGCCCAAATCCCATAAGTATGGGATTTCAGAATATAGAGGGTGATTTTATCTGGATTTTAATGCATATTCACATGGCATAGCATATAATTCCATGTAGTTTTTAATTCAGAAATCTTGCATAAGCCTTTCTAAGTCACATCTCAGGCGCTCAGATTGTTATTTTTATAGAGGTACCCTCAGAAAAATTGTATGCAGAAATAAGAAAAAAATGAAGCCAGTCCAGCTAAATTCTAAAGAGAGAGCAGGTCCACACCTAAGTAGAATCAGATAAAAGTCTGTACAGTTAAATGATAAAGAGAGTGGTGACATATTTACATTAGTACATAAATTCGACTACGAGTTTTGCAGGGAAAACCTCCATCCTCTTAGTTTGCCCAGACAACCAAAAACGCAGAAAATACATAAGACAACAGGGAGATAAAAAGTGCTGCATATGCAGGCCCTCAACAATGGAGGTTGTGAGGGTCATTATACCCTTTTAGGGTTGATAATGAACAATCCAACTTTTTCAATTTTGCCAGACCAAAGCAAATTTCACTTTGTAGTTTTTTACCAAAACAGCTGTTTTTCCATCTGCCAAGATATGTGCCACTTTAAGCCGATCAGAAATTCCATCTGTTATTGTTTGTGGTATTGACATACATGTACCTTCCACACATAAGTTCTGGGAAGAACTACCAAGTAATTTTGTAACTTTGAACAATATTTTGTTGGTTTTAAGCAGCCTCTCCCTTTTCACATTGCGCGGGGAACTGGGAAGAACAATTCCAAAGTGTTTTGCCCATTGGTGCTTGTTTGCCCAAATCCCATAAGTATGGGATTTCAGAATAAAGAGGGTGATTTTATCTGGATTTTAATGCATATTCACATGGCATAGCATATAATTCCATGTAGTTTTTAATTCAGAAATCTTGCATAAGCCTTTCTAAGTCACATCTCAGGCGCTCAGATTGTTATTTTTATAGAGGTACCCTCAGAAAAATTGTATGCAGAAATAAGAAAAAAATGAAGCCAGTCCAGCTAAATTCTAAAGAGAGAGCAGGTCCACACCTAAGTAGAATCAGATAAAAGTCTGTACAGTTAAATGATAAAGAGAGTGGTGACATATTTACATTAGTACATAAATTCGACTACGAGTTTTGCAGGGAAAACCTCCATCCTCTTAGTTTGCCCAGACAACCAAAAACGCAGAAAATACATAAGACAACAGGGAGATAAAAAGTGCTGCATATGCAGGCCCTCAACAATGGAGGTTGTGAGGGTCATTATACCCTTTTAGGGTTGATAATGAACAATCCAACTTTTTCAATTTTGCCAGACCAAAGCAAATTTCACTTTGTAGTTTTTTACCGAAACAACTGTTTTTCCATCTGTCAAGATATGTGTCACTGTAAGCAGATCAGAAATTCCATGTTTAATTGCTCATTGGGTTGCCATACTGTAATGATAGGTATCAATTGGTTGTGCCAAGTATTGTGTTATAAATTGTGTTACCTATAGTGCATTATCCTATAATATAACCGGAAGTTGCATAAGACACATAATGGCTGTTTAGTTCAGTACATGGTACTGCAGGTAAAACCCTTAAATATCACAGTAATCCTCGTCATGGACATTAAAACTATTATGCCCCCTCCTAGAATGGAGTTTGCCGGGATGTAGAAAGAAGTTGGAGGACATTTATACGCAGCTTTGATTGGTATTTAGCCGTGGTTGGTGATATTGGAGATAGCCAGAAAATAGGACTTTTGATAAATGCAGCTGGACCAAAAGCTGCTCAAATCTATGAAACTTTCAAGTATGTTGAAGGTAAGGATAAGACTAAATATCAATGTATTCGTAACAAATTTGAGAAATATTGTATTCCGAAGATAAAAGTAACATACAAACGTTTTGTGTTCAGGTCAAGATGCAAGTCTGATGGCGAATCTCTTGATGATTTCCTGGTTGACTTAAAATCCAAAATCCAAAAATGTAATTATAAGGATCAAGAACTCTCTAATCTTAGAGATTGGATTGTCATTGGAATAAATAAAGAGACTTCAGGAAAGCCTACTTCGAGAAACAGAATTAACCGAGCTGAAAGCCATAGAAATCTGTCGAAGTTCCGAAATGGTTCAACAACAGATGAAATCTTTTGCGAGTGGATTGTCATCCAGTAGTCATACAAATCCGACCGCTGTGAGTCAAGTGAAAATGATAAAGAACTGTCACTTCTGTATGAAATCACACAAAATAAAAAAATGCCCTGCGTCATATTTGTGGCTGCAAGGGACACTTCGCCAAATAAAGACGCTGTGCCAATAGCTCGTCAAAAGACTTAAGGTCCAGAAGGAAAAGTCATGGTCGTCGTACAGGTCGTAAAAATGGTAAAGTTCATCAGATTGACTATGATTCTTCTGAATACTCCAGTGACGATTCCGGTGAATTCTATATTGCAGGAACAGTTGGTGTATTGAATCCTCATGATATGTCCGACGATGAAAATACGCTGAACAACGCCACATGTACAACTCCAGATACAACTTCAGAGGCCATAATAATGCCTAATATCAGTGGTGTGTCCTTGAATGCACAAAATATATCCAATGTGAATTCTAGTGTAAATGTTGTAAGGTCAGCTGGTCCAGTGTCCAATGATCACAATGTGTGTTGCAAATTGGACACTGGAGCCAAGGCCAACCTACTATCTCGTAAAGATCACGATAGTTTGAAGTACAAACCCAAGATACATAAGAAATGTGTAAAACGTTTTGATTATAATGGGTGTAAAATCTCTAATACTGGTGTATGTATTGCACAGGTTGTTCTCAAGGGAAAGAGTTACAATGTAATGTTTGTTGTTGTTGTTGACAAAGGGGACTCATTATTACCCTTGAAAAGTTGAACATGGTATAATAAATATAAAATTGAAAAATTGAATTGAAAGTGGATTCAACATGTATTAATAAAAGCTAACTATGGACACATAATATACAGCCTTAAACAATTTAGAATAAGTTGGATTACTGATTGAAATTGAAATTATCGCCCATAGACTTTTTTCAAAAACTTTATCTTCTGCAATGGAAGCCAAATTCCTCAACACAGCTATTATACTGATGCTGTGCCACAAACTAAATGAATCTGTTAGGGAAGTTAACGCCATGTTTGAATCATTGACAAAGTCGGTTTGACCTAGATGTGAATAAGAACCTGGGGGATATAACCAACAGGATTGAAACAGGTAAAAATCTTGTGAAGTCTGACTGGCTGAATTATGTCAAGAAGTCATTAGATAATCTTGGTATGGCAAACATTTGGTTAAATCCTAGTAGTTCGTATTTTTCAAAATTTGTTAAAACTAAGGCTAGAAGACCAGTTGAGGCAATCATGTGAAAATGATGTAAGTAATAGTAACATAGGTTTTAATTATAGAATTTTAAAAACAGAATTCAAGTTTGAAGACTACTTATTTGCACTGCCTCAAAAATATAGAGTAATTTTTATCAAACAAAGAATGACCAACACAAAATTACCTATTGAGAGGGGTAGGTATAGAAATGTGAAGAAATAGAAGATTTTGTGAACTATGTAATAACAATTCATTAGGAGATGAATTTAATTTTATATTAGAATGTAAGTCTGTTAAAAGCATTAGAAAACAATATTTACCCCAATATTTTTGTAAAAACATTAGTACTTTTAAATATGCCAAGCTGTTACAATCTGATAGTAAAGTGTTGTTAGCATTGTGTGAGTTTCTAAATGAGGCTGGGAAGCAATTGTAAATATGTTTGTTATGAAATACTTAATTGTTATATACTTATTTATTGTATGTACCTTTGCCCAATACCCTTTATTTGGGTGATGGTATAATACATAAAATTGAAAATTGAATTGAAAATAGATTCAACATGTATTAATAAAAGCTAACTATTTCATAGAACTATGGACACATAATATACAGCCTTAAACAATCTAGAATAAGTTGAATTACTGATTGGAATTTAAATTATCGCCCATAGACTTTTTTCAAAAACTTTATCTTCTGCAATGGAAGCCAAATTCCTCAACACAGCTATTATACTGATGCTGTGCCACAAACTAAATGAATCTGTTAGGGAAGTGAACGCCATGTTTGAATCATTGGCAAAGTCGACTCCCACTGTTTCCTATCACTAATGTTATGAACAATTCGGAAGGTACAACACAGTAGATCACAATGTATTCTATGATCAGTCTCATCTTAATGATGCTTGTGTATCAAAGCTTGGGTCATTTCTCTACCTGGAACCTGTGAATCCCCCACAGAATCTACACCTCAAGTCTCTGACACAACTCAAACTGCAGTTTCAAACTCAACTGCCAGTATCCAACCCTCATATTCTATACGGTGATAATGTTGATGCGCTAAGAACCACTTCCAATATTCTTAGCCTCAAATGCAATTACCAGTCAATTATCCAATTCAATGATTCATTTAATGCATCTCCTGATAATGAAATTAGTATCCTAAGCACAAATATGCGTAGCTATCTAGCAAATCAATGGAAACTAGAGGACATGCTGAATAACATCAACAAACCCTTCTCAGTAATTGCTTGTACTGAGACATCGTTAAAATAAGCACAATGAACCATTAGTGTATCTAAGTAATTATAATGCTGAATTTGAAAGTAGAGTCGACAAGACTGGCAGAGGTGTATCACTATTCATTCTCAAAAACAAAGTACAAGCGTAGAGATGATCTTGTATTTACAAGCCACCAAATACAAAACTAAATGACTTCAATTCTGATCTAAATCAACTTTTAGGCAAAGTCTCTAAAGAGAATAAAACTGCCTACATATTAGGAGATTTCAACATAGATATCTTAAAATCAGGATTTTATTAATCTACTTTATTCATTCAACTTTACTCCCCTTATATATAAACCTACACATTTAACTCATACCTATGCCTAAGGTCAATTTATTTGTTCGTCACAATAGGTGGGCGATTACAAGGATTCTGTGCAAATTGATGGGTATGGGCAACAAGGCTCTGACTGAAAGTTGTTATTAATGGTGAAACGAAATCAAAACTAAAGAGAAGTGTTACTGAATATTCGATAATGTTGCAATTAAATGCATGTATGGTAAATGATTTATCAAATATAATTGAAGCTTTAAATTGGAGTAAATAATTAAAATGAGTGATAAATGGATTGGTTTTGTCCTGTAAAAAGACTTGGCTATCAATTTTTAATTTTTTCTTCAACATGTATTGTAATGACTTCAGTATGAATGAAATGTCCCTTGGTCTTCTGGTCTTGGATTGTGATATTCGTTCATGAATGGCGGGGGGAAAGGGGGTATTAGACATTGTTTCTTTTCATGTTTTTCTTGACTGGTATGCACTTAGAATTTGCTTTTTCTTGTTAAGTTACATTATTTAGATGTAGCAAATCACGTCACAACTGTTATAAAATGGCAAATACTTTAGGTGCAGGTGCACAACCTAACACCAGTCATGATATGAGAGAATTTCCAATTTTCAATCTGAGTGTCATCTGCCATCATCATCTTCACATATTAGGAGGAGAGTGGGGACAGTGGTTATAAAGGATTTGATGTCAGTAGTCAAGCTCGGTTGCAAGACGAGTTGATTGTTAACTTACCTTTGAAATGAGTTAGTGAAGGATGGCGTTGTAAATATTAATGGATAGAAAATAAACATTATATTCATAATGTATTTTATCGTGATATTGTGGAGTCTAGCCTTCAAGGTTGTTTTTAAATGTTTTAATCTCCCGCTGGAAGTAGGACACAGGCCAAGAACCAATCAGCTAAGGGCCCGTGCGGATCAGCCAATTAGAGCTCGAGGAAGTTCTTTGAAGACAAGATAGCGTCCTTTTAACTCGAAGTAAAGTTTTATGATTATTCTCCGCACGTTTTTACACTTTTGGAACAAACAAACTGTAGGTAAGCATAAACGTTGATTACCCTTACGATCAAACATGTAACACGCATGTTGATGCAAATTTTCGATGGTAATGTAGGCAGATCGGGAAAGTTATGAGAAGAAATAAATTCACACTCTGAAAATTTCGCCATGATTGACCTAATTCTAGTGAGTTTTTTCGAAAGTTTGGCTGCAAGTTTGAGTCGTTTAGGGCCGTGGTGGAGAATAATATGAAGGTCATTCGGGAAAGACATAATTCCTATTATAGAAATATGCCAATTGATCAAGGATATCTAATCTAACTAAGTAATTCAGCGTTGAATTTGAGGGTTGGTCGTTTCTATTTTTCTGGGAAGTTGAGATGAACTTCTTCCCCCTGGTTTTTTCTTTTCCGGTTAGTCGCAATAATAAGCTTTTCAGTTAACATGATAGACTTTAAACATAACAGTTAGGTCTTGGGTGCATGGTTATAATCATTCAGTTTAAAGTGGGAAATTCATCAACTGAAAAGCAAATTCTACATAAGCAAGGTTTGACACGAGACAAAAGCGTTATAGTGAAGCGGGCATTGGCCAATTGTAGGTTGTCAACCTTCTCATAAAATAGATGGCTTTTTACACTTTTGGAACAAACTGTAGGTAAGCATAAACTTTGATTACCCTTACAATCAAACATGTAACACGCGTGTTGATGCAAACTTTCGATGGTAATGTAGGCGGATCGGGATAGTTATGAGAAGAAATTCATGTTCATCATTCATGTTTCAAAATATTTGTTTTCGTGTCATTTCTAGACGGGAAGGCGGTGCTGTGATGTTTTTAAGGGAATGAAACAATAAATAAGATGCTCCGCTGTGTTTTTGTAAAGTTGAACATGTTAAACCATTTACGACATGGGCCTAAGTTTTAATAAAAAATAAAATGATTTTTGCAGTGAAGCTTGGCAATGAGTACTCCTAGCGTGCTGTTGTTGGGGCACAGCCTGGTAAAGAGGGTTGAGGTACCCAGTGATTCATTCTCTGAAGAAACGTTGAAGAAATGCCCACCATCATTGGATTTAAATGAGAACCAATGCTTCTTAACATATGAAGGAGTGCTAGGGGGAGATTTTAAAAAGTTGAATGAAAGTGCTATTTGGAAATCCATGAATAATTTTGATGTTGTAGTTGCTCAGATAGCTGGTAATGAGATTGACAATTTTGCAATGTCAGAAGAGAGAATAACTGAGGTGTTCCAAGAGACTATAGACATGATACATAGGATATGGCGGCGAGTAGCTAAAGTGGTCCTGTTCAAGTTGTTTTATAGACGAATGTCTCTGGCACATTCTTTAAGAATACGATCTCTGGAGCAGCAAGTGAGTTATAACAACAATGTTGACAGAGTAAATAGGAGGTTAGCTCAGGTGCTAGATCATTTAACAGGTACCTATCTTTGGAGGACAAAGGGACAGGTGATGAATGGCCTCGACATGTTAGGAGAGGATGGTACCCATTTTAACAAAGATGGGCACTATAAATACTGGAGATCATTGAGGGGAGCAGTGCATGGCCTACCAAGTAAGTGGTCATGGGCATGTTTACGTTGTGTATGTGATTTTTTTGCACGATAGAGTTGAGGGTTTTTAATATGCACGTTTTGTTAGTGAGTTCCAACACGCTTGTTAATTAGTGAATATGTCTCAGCTTGGAGAGAATGCTTATGCATATGCTTACTCATCTTCACCCTGTATTCCTTCTGTCGCTTGCAAATAAAAGGCATCTCAACATGCTTGTTGGACGTTTATTCATACATAAATTTAATGTAATTAATACACGCTTGTAGAACAATGCTTTATTCGCTTAACTTACTCAATGTGCGCAAATTAGTAACGCATATCTTAAAAACAAATCTGTTGTTGTTTTCAACCCCTACTCAGAGGTAGATGAGATATTTGGAGCAAGTACTTTGGTATAATTAGGTTCCTTTGGTTCGCTCACTTTATCCGAATAGAGACACATTGGTTTAATTCACGCTGTTGAATCGGTATATGTTATAAAAATTATAGCTGCAGGTAAGAAAAGTTTTTGGTATGAAGTTTTTGTTCGTTTGATTTTCTTTATTAATTCACTCAATACAGGTTTTTAATCTCATGCTTTTTCGTCAGTGCACACAAGCTAAAAGTTGATACCCACAGGTAGAATGGATAAGGATGTTGTTGTTTGGTTTAGAATTGTTGCACACGCTAATGTTTTAAGTGGAGTTACAGGGAAATCTGGACCAGATGGTATTACATATTTTTAACTCTACAGTTGTATGGTAAGATTTTATTAGAATCTAGTGTTGAGAAGAATTTTTATCATGCTTGATTAGAGTGTTTAAACCTGCTATTGTGGGGAAAAGGCTTTTCAATATGCTTATTTTGGTTTTGTTTTAAGCTTCCTTTTGTGGGGAAACCCCAAAACCCAGGGATGGCACAAGGTCAGCAAAAAAAACCTTGGGATGGTGCAAGGTCAGCCGCAAAACCCTGGGATAGCGCAAGGTCAGCCACGAAATCCATTAAACCCCGTAGTGGTACAGAATCAACCTCAAAACCCAGTGATGGCACAGGGTCACCCACAAAACCCTGTGATGATACAGGGTCAGCCCCAAAACCCTGGAGGGGCACAGGGTATCATGCTAAATCCTGGTATGGCCCAGGTAAATCCAGGTCAGGGACAACTACAAAAGCCCGGCACGGGCCAGGGGTATCAACAAAAGCTAGGTATGGGCAGGGTTTCAATCCAAACCCTGGTATGGGCCAGTATTCCATCAAGGGATACAAAACCAGGAAATGGTTGGACAAGAAAATAAATCCCATGGGACAGTGGCCGGGACAAGATCAGGGACAAGGCTTCATGCAGAACCTTGGTATGGGCCAAGGCAATGTCCCAGTTCAGAACTGGGTAAGAGGTCCACTTCAACCAGGCCCGTAGAGACCAGATCAGTTAGGGATGGTTACACAAGGTAACACAAGGTAACACAAATTTACTCATGTTTACGGGCAATCAGCTTGATACTCATATATCAGATTCCGTGAGCCATAAATGTATTAAACATGAGTATGTTGACTTGAAAACACTGTTAGTGAAAACTGACGCAAATCAGGAATGTAAGTATGTTGGTGAAAATGAGGAGGGGGAGAGAGATTGATTCTGAAACCTATTGAAGCGAAAGCAAAAATAGCATCAGTAAGTGATTGGCAAACAGCATTCTATATCTTCATGACTGTATATGTTAGGCATCACCCATAATAATCAACTTGATCAAATATGCAAGCCACATTTTATCTTTGAGCAAAACGCCAAATGCAAATTGGCAGCAATATGACGAGGATTTTAGGAAAAATAAGTTATTAGCTGGGCTTAGGTGGGAGGTTATTAACCACGAGCTGTGATTAGCAGCTACTATTATTAAGCCAAACCTAACATGCAACCAAGGGGGCTCAAAAAGGTGCTAGTAAAAAAACAGGGAAAACTACTTTTCGAGAGCAACCCATATGTTTTCGCTGGAACAATGGGGAATTCTGCCAATTCTCTTCCTGCAAATATAGACACATTTGTAGGGTTTGCAATGAAAAACACAGAGCTAATGATTGTAAACAAGGAAAGTCTCAAAAGTCAGGACCTTTTAACCAATAGAAAAAAAATTCCAACAGATTTGTCAAAAAATCAAAGTAATCCTTTGTGCAAATTGATTGAAGAAAATGGTTTTTAGTTGATATACACTGTTGCTCATAAATATGGAATATTTTACAATTATTAATTGTTTGGTATAATTCTTACAAATGGTAAAAATAAGTTAAAAGATGTTTATTGCCTCCTGATTTTCTCCTCATATTTGCACATAAAACTGATTGTTATTAAAAGTAGCTTGTGGAGGTGGTTCTGTTCATATTTGAGGTGGTGTTCACCAAGGAGAGTCGCACCCCCTTGGTGAGTCTCAACTGTAATGTCAGCGGTGATCTACATCTAGTACCACATGCAAATGGAGTGTTATGGCGTAACTTTAAACTGCAGCATGATGAAGCTGATGCGTATGATAGCTTCATTATGCAGGATTTCCCCAGGGCAGGCAATGTGGAGCAGCTACCATAGGCACCAAAGTCACCTGATCAGGCTCTCGCAGAGCACTTGTGGGATGAAACTGGCAGCGAAATTTATCACACAGATCCCCTATCTCAAAATTTAGCAGAGTTATATACTCCTCTGATTGAGTAGTGGGACCTTATTTCGCGTAGACAGGTCAGACATATCATTGACAGCAGGCCCCGCGGGATGGATACTCTGATTGCAGCACTAGGAAGAAATACCGCATATTAGTGCTGTTATGGGCTGGAGGAGTAATTCATCTTCATGACCTGGTGTTTAGTTTGTTTGATCCACTTTACATTAAAATTTGGATCGGGGTGTTTTGAAAATGCAAATTTTTTTAGACTACCCCATTTTAAACGCCAGCAAATTTCTAAACTTAAATGTAAATATTTTTTCCGTAAAAAATGTTGATTTGTAGATTAAATATGTGTCTATGATTTGCCTAGAAAATTATTTGCTTAAACAACTCCAAATAAAAGTTGTTTTCATCCAAAAACTGAATTCTTATCTGACAAATCTAATATTCCATATTTATGAGCAACAGTGTAGATTTAGAGGCTTCTATTCCTACTCCTGTACAACCAAACATGTAACATGAATTTTTGGGGGGTTATAATCCCGAAACAAGAGATTTTCTCAGAGAGGGCTTCACAATTGGTTTTAAAATCCCGTATGTTGGAAATTTGCCAAAATCGACAATGCGTAATATAACCTCTGCTTATGAACTTCCAAAGGAACTGTTAGAAAGATACAGAAAGAAGTGGCTTTGGGTAGAATATCAGGTCCTTTGTCAGAAAAACCATTCAATCATTTCGTAGTTTCTCCAACGGGGGTGGTACCAAAAAGCACACCGAGTAAATTTAGAAGAATCAATCATGGATATATATTAGATAAATAAAGTTTATTACTAAAACAAGCAGAGCATTTTGCAAAGTGGGAAAAACTACAGTTGGCATCATATGTTCTATTTTATGAACAGGTTTATTGGAAGTAAGCGGCACATTCAGATATGCCATACCCAATCATGAATAGATAAAAAAAATTGTTAATTGGAGACATAAAGTACTTTCTATCATAGATCTCCAGATCTGTAATAGCTTTATCAGGCACAATAATGCTGGAAAGTGAGAGATCCCAATCTGTTTGACCATTGACTTTATCGTAAAAATATCAACATAACCATTGTTGGATAATTCATTTTTATTTCCTAGTATTGATCATGATGATCTTCTGACCAAACAAACCATCAAACAAAAAATAAAAGCATACCTTGATTAGCAGGTATTTACTTGGCTTGGCACTAGAACAACACCAAGGAAACAGCATAATCTGACATCCATATTTGTAAAAACTGGATAACAGCAACTCAAGTAGCAGATGTGATTCCCTAAATAAATAAACAATCATTATTTTCTAACAATTATTTTTTCTATATCAGAAATGAATTCAAATTCTTTTTTCAAAGTGCCCATCATTCAAAGCAATATATTGGGCCCAAAAAAATTCAAGATATTCTGTTCAGTGACCTTCTATTTTCTCTGACTAATATAAGCTTCCGGTTTCAATGGCGTCGGACGTGAAATCAACAGCTCCGCTTAGCGGGGAGGATTTAGCCAATATTGAGCAAACGCTTCAGCTGCTGACTGAAGGCCCGAGAGCGGACGTGATAGAAGAGTTAGATCGAGAGCTTGAGGAAGATGAGTGCGATGTTCTCAGGGATTATCTGTTCCAAAAGGGGAAGGTAAAAGTATCTGAGTTATGTGATAATCTCTATGGCGTACTTGCTGATCGAGAGGAAGATCAGGTTCCTATAAACTTACAACCAAAGCTGCGAAAAGGAAAAAATAGAAAGTTCACGCTTTTGAATGATATTTCGGATCTATATCTGTTCATAACGGATAACAAAAGCTTCCCCAGATCTATACTCAGTACAAACAGATTCCTTCCCGATGTCATCGGCAATAAGGAATTGCGTCAAAATGCGTATCGCAACGAGCGTAATGCAACAGTGGATATAAACATAACAATGCTAACCCAGCGAATTGTGGAACTTGAAGCAGATAGAGATAGCCATAAAAAGGAGATAAAGGACTTGAAAGATGAGGTAGGAACGCTATTTTCGAAACTTTCTAAACTTCAGGTCGATGTGACCAATTTCGTCAAAACATGTACTTGTACATGTAAACAATCCGAGGTGCCAGTAACTGGTACTCTGCCAAAACCCCTGATCCAAGCCAATTCCAAGCCACAAACAATCCCAATTAGTAAGGCGACTACTCTTGAGGAAATAGTGAGTGAACAACAACAAATGCTCGAGTTTGCCAAACAACGCGTTAATGAAGTCAATAATGCCAAAGTCTCCAAGTCCAGGACTGTTAATCCCGAAACAAGCGACTCGTTTTTGTCGCTTACTGAAACTGTTATCAATACATGTGTAACGGGTGCCAGCACACCTAATAAACCCGCATCATCTGTTAAAGCAAAAGACCATGGTTATTCTAAGACTGATCATCCGACCCCAGCAATAGCGCCCGATCCACATAATACATATTTTATTACCGATTCAACGCCCATCGAAGTCCCAGGGACCAACAAGATCTCTTCCCAGTCCAAGACAATCAAAGAAACCCCTTCAACGTTCAGTGAAGTGTTAAATTCGCCATCTAATGTATCGGACAATGCCAGTCATTTACCAGGGAAAGAATGGATGGTTTGGGCAAGCAATCAAACGTATAAAAAACAGAAAATTGCCGCAAAATCTGCTCACGTCTCACCACCTACTCAACCAGCCCCACAATCACAAAACGCAAGAGCTCTACGAGGTGCACCTGTAGACAACAATGTCTACTCCAAGAGAACTATAAAAGGAAAACAGTTCGAACGCTATAAATATCTCTATTTGGAAAATGTTTTTCAAGATGAACACGACACTGATGATGACATCTGTGATGATGTCATAAAATTTGGCTATGAACACGGTGTTAAAATAATGTACTGTCACGTGGTCCACAATAGAATGTCGTATACCCATGTGGGATGTAAAATTGCTGTAGTGGAGTCCAACTTTCAACAGACTATGATTATTGATTGGCCGGATCCTATTGTCTGTAGGGAATGGCAAAACTGGAATGAATATCGAAGGATTAGAGGTGGAACTCTTAATGCCTATGATCAATAAGTCAACCAGAACAATGGCAACGCCAAAGCGTAGCGAATCCCATCGAACAGAAATGGCTGGCATTTTTACAAACGAAATATATAGCAAATATCATAAAAACACACCAGAAAGGCCACCATTTTCAAAATGGTTGCTCACTAGCCAAGTTGTCATCAGAAGAAATAAATATGCTTTTAAGTAGCCACCTATAAAATTTTTGAAAAATCGCACACATGTACTTGTAAAATAACACACATAAAAATGGTGGCTATTTTTCAAAATGGCCGACTACTCCCCAAAGTTTTATTAGACAATGTGCCATGCTTAGAGTATTCACATATCAAATATGAACAAAATCGCTCCACTACTTTTCGAGTTATAGTAAAATATGTTAAAATGGCGGCCATTTTTCAAAATGGCCGCCTTCTACCAAAAGTGTCTTTAGACAGTGTGCAATGTTTATAGTATTCACATACCAAATATGAAAAAATCGCTCCACTACTTTTCAAGTTACAGCAAAAATCGTAAAATAACGAGTAAAGGCCGCCATTTTTCAAGATGGCTGCCATGTGCTTTTTTAATATCTACATTTGTAGCTTTATTAATGTCCTTTATAATTTTTTTACACTAAAAACATATTGCTATTACAGTTTTACATATTGTACCTAAATTACTGTAAAATCGGCACTAAAATGGCCGCCATTTTGAAATGAGCGGCCATTTTGAAAATCGGCTTTCGAGCAGAACTTCTACCTCCATAGGGTATATGTGTACAAAATATGAACAAAATCGGGCCAACGGTATTTGAGTTATTGCCCGGACGGACGGACAGACGTACGGACGGACGTACGTACGGACGGACGGACGTACGTACGGACGGACGGACGGACGGACGGACGGACGGACGGACGGAGGCGTTCCTTATATCCCTCCGAACTTCGTTCGATGGGATAATAAACGCTAAATCACAATGAAAATCACAATGAAACACCTGATCATTCTATACTGTATATTAATAATGGTAATTTTTACTCAATGGAATGCAAATGGTATACACTCATCAGAGATTTATTTGCGTGAATTGCTAAAAAGAAGTCATATTGTCGCAGTGTCAGAACATTGTTTATATGAATGTAATCTAAACAAGCTTAATGATATTGATCGTGATTTTGAGTGCTTAGCATATAGTAGCTCATTACTTAACCCTATGAATTGTGGAATTAGCTGGGGACATGGCGGAATAGCCCTTTTTTGGCGTAAAACGTTTAAAAATGCCATATCGCCAGTGCGAGAATTCTGCACGGATAGAATTGCATGCATAAAAATTGAAGGTGATACGTCTCTGTATGTCTTTTCGGTATATCTGCCTCAGGCATCGTGTAAAAATGAGAGCTTTGAGGATGTTGTTATTTATTTAGAAAACTGTATATATAAATGTGTAGCTACGGGTTATGTAATTTTACTTGGTGATATAAATGCAAATTTTGGTAACTTATTTCAAACCAAAAGAGCGCACGGTACATGCACTGTAAATGGTAAAATGATGTATAATTGTATGTTGCGTAATGGGTTAACATCTCTTGATTTGCAAAGTCGAACAAGCGGCCCTTGCTATACATATGAATCAGGTACTGGGTACAAATCATATATAGATCATATACTGGTGTCCGAAGAACTACTACCTGCGTGTTTAAGCTGTAAAGTACTGGCAGATAGTTTTACAATTGGATGTGGTCATCTTGCTATAGAATCTGAAATTGATCTGCCATCTATTTTAATGCAAAAAAGTTCTCCTTGTGCGTCAATCAAGCCAAGTTTTGCATGGCATAAATTAACAGATCAATTA